AACACTATACTGTAACCCTGCAAAATTAAACATGGAATAACACAACATTATAAAGTTCGCTTCATGTTCAGAGAACCTTATCCTTGAATGCATTTTCCCACTAAACTTGCTTTTAGCTGTAATTTCATTGTGAAATTGTTGCGACCCTCCTCCATCCCTTTCACTTCTAGACATGTTTAGATTCCATCAGGGGTTTTCCTATGCAACCCCTACAAATACAATGATGTCTTGATCGTGTCAAATTACCTCTAATAGACTTTGCATGTCTCCTCTTTATTGTGAACATCAATTGAATATATTTGATATTCAAAATGAGGTCTCTCCTGATTGAACTAAAGACAGCTAGAAGTGTAAGGTCAGGGAGACACAGGAGGCAAGCGCTGTCCATTTTCTTTTTGGGTCCATGTTGACCATCTGCGATCGGCTCCTTCTCTGTAGCATTTTGGCCTTCCACAAGCAAATCAGTCAAGTAATGGAATATTTCCAGTTGTTGAATGTCAGCGTTTCAATTTTCCACGCTTACAAAACGTTTACAAAAATTAATCTAAGGATGTGATTGGATTGTTGGATTTCCGATCAGTAGGGGGGTGGCAACAAACATGACATGCTGCTTCTTGACCATGTCATCATGTAAATGAGAATTGGTTCTCATTTGACTTATCTGGTTAAAAAAAGGTAAAATAAACCCAAAAAAAATATGGCTGTAACTAATTACTTTTGGGGAAGCAACTATAATATTATTACTAAAATGTATTAGTAATTAGTTACACTACTAATTACTGGGCAAAGTAATATTGTAACTAGTGATGCTTTACTGCCCAACACTGGTTGTGATTGACTTCAGATTATGTACTTATTCCACATATTTATGTCTAAATAGAGCAAGAGACAAACACACACACACACACACACACACACACACACGAGGGAGGCCTCTCCCTTTGATCATCACCAGATGGCCCTTTTAACTTCCATGAAAAATGCATGAGGTTATGAACACCAACTGTATGAGGAATAGAAAAGAGCACAGGATCAGAATAGCTTGTTAACCAGCACAGCCAAATGCGCCTCTGCCGTCAGGCTCACGTTTATGCACAAACTGACCTATAGTATCATGGTGCTTTGTGAGACCTCCTTCTGTGACTTGATATCCAGTAACAGAACAACAACAGCTGTGATGATGATCAAAAAAGGTGATAAAAAAGGGAGATATCTTCTTCCTAACTACTCCATCCATCTAGCAGCCACTGATTCACCTGCAGACTAACTTAGCACAAAAAGTAAGGAAATTTGTGTTTGGTTGATTATTTATCTGTGGTAACAATGCTTTTTGGCAATAAATCTTACACCGTTGGAAAGCCTGGTTAGGTCCCTTTCAAATGGTACCCCATTTGTAAGGAGCATGCACTTGTGGGATGAGCAGCAGAGCTGAGTATGTGGGTTGGACCCATGAAAAATTTGCCAAATCTTCTCTGCCAATGCCAAACAGCTTATTCTGCCATTGACTCGTTTGGTGTTTGGTGGATTGGATGATTGAAGTTTGGAGAAACAAGACATATTGGCAATTTAACAATTTATTCATTTCACAAACAGGAGCCTCAGTAGCGTGTGGAAGAACCATACACAGCCACAACAGCTTGGCACCTCCTCCTCATGATGGTCACCAGCCTGGTCACACACTGCTGTGGGATGGCATTCCATTCTTCAACCAGCATTTGTCGCAAGTCAGCCAACGTGGTTGTGTTGGTCACTCTGGCATGAACAGCACGCCCAAGCTTATCCCACAAGTGTTCAATGGGGTTGAGGTCAGGACTGCTGGCAGGCCATTCCATCCTCTCCACTCCCACATTCTGGAGGTAGTCTCTGATAAACCCCGCCCTGTGGGGGTGAGCATTGTCATCTTGGAGGATAGAGTTCGGTCCCAGACTGTGGAGATATGGGATTGCCACTGGTTGCAGAATCTCATCTCTATATCTCTCTGCATTGAGATTGCCTCCAATGATGACAAGCCTCATTTTTCCTGTGAGGGAGATGCCGCCCCACACCATCACACTGCCTCCACCAAAAGATGTTATTCGGTATCGGTGCAGCAATTAGCATAGCGTTCTCCACGTCTTCTCCACACTTAGATCCCATGATCCAACTGCCGTAGGCAGAATCTGGACTCATCACTGAACATAACGTACCTCCACATGTTCAGGTTCCAGTGCACTTGTTGCCGACACCAGTGCAAACGGGCCTGACGGTGAAGGGCAGTCATGGTAGGACTCTTGGCAGCCCTATGAGACCAGAGATTGGCAGCGTGTCGTCTGTTCCGCATTGTCTGGGCAGAGAGCCGTCGGCCATATCTCTCTCTCTACACTCTAGTGATAATGTTACGATCTCTAATTGCAAGCATTCTACCAATACACACCCATTCATTTTTTTGGCCTGCTTTTTGGCGATTTATCGGCAAACTGTTTGGCGAAACGCTTAAAAAAGTCATCGCACTATGTCTTGACCTAGCCGCACATCTTGATACCTTTTTTGTGTATGTGCCACCAAAACTGCGGGAGGAGAAGCGCACTAGAAAATTCCTAAAGAAATTTTGATTGTGCCTTGCTCTGGCCCGTGTGTTAATACCATGTCTTGCTCTCTAGCACGCTAGCGCTAGCATATTAATGCCATGTAATCCTCCCTATAGCATATTGATAACCTGTCATCCTCCTTAATTGCGCTAGCATATTAATACCACGTCATTATCTTTAGCTAGCGCTAGCATATTAATACCATGTCATTCTCTTTAGCTAGCTAGCTAGAGCTAGCACACATAAACACATTAACCAAAGCAAGTGCTTAGCTATGTGCTAATCGCTGGCTATGCGCTAATCGCTAGCTAACCGCTAATCGCTAGCTAAGCGCTAAGCGCTAGCTATGCGCTAATCGCTAGCTAAGTGCTAGCTTTGGTTAATGTGTTTAATTGTATTATGCTCCTGAAGGAGTGCTAATGTAAATTAAGGAACAGCTCATCGTAGGGTAAAATATTTAAGGTGTATTGAACTTATTTTGTGTTAATATTAAAATCATTCAGCTTTAAATTGTTTGTTTGTTAGCCACCTTCTAATTATCTTTAGCTAGCCAGCTAGCTAACACTAGCTTATTAATGCCTTGTCAGCCTCTGTAGCTAGCTATGTGTGTGTGTGTGTGTGAGGCAGGCTTTGGTTGTCATGGCAATCAGGGGAGCCCACAGCAGCTGCGCGCGCTCTCTCTCTGTCTCTAACTCCTCAGAGAGACAGAAACATTTAAAATGAATCCCCTCGAACCCATGGCCAGGAACGACCGAAATGAAAACCGAAAAGACCGTGAGCGTCGTCATCTTGTTGACTATAGCACTGCCGAGTTTCAGTGGTTAAAGTTAAAAAATGTGACCTGGGGAGATTGAGAGAGAAGAGGTTCAACGAGCTCCTTTCAAGGTTTCTCCTCTCCATTTTAACATGGGAGTAGATGGGGCCGTGAGAGGGTGTTGCTGGCGCATCAGTGCGTCTCCCGCCAACAGTATTTCTCTGACAGCTTCAGCAGTGGTATCACTGCGACCCCAACAGATTTACCTACGTTTCTATCTATAAATTATTACATTATACATTCATACCTTGTTCTGTCTAGCTAGGGGTGATGTCACGCACTTTAGCGGTTGAAGATTTTTGCAATACACACCCATTCATTTATTGGCCTGGTTTTGGCGATTTATCGGCAAACTGTTAGAAACGCTTAGAAAAGTCATAGCACTAATGTCCTCACCGAGCCGCATGTTTTGATACTTTTTTTGTGTATGTGCGACCAAAACTGCGGGAGGAGAAGCGCGCCGAAAAATGTACGGAAGAATAATAATAAGCACACAGCATAATAGTAGTGTGCTGTCCCAGGCAAACTAATAATAATAATAAGTATGGGCAAGAATAGTATTGTGCTTTTCAAGGTACAATTATAAGCCTGAAGAAGAATAGTAGTTTGCTGTCCCAGGCACACTAATAATAAGCACGGGGGATAATAGTAGTGTGCTTTGCAGGCACACTAATAAGTATGGGGGATAATAGAAGTGTGCTTTCCAGGCACACTAATAATAAGCACGGGGGATAACAGTAGTTTGCTTTGCAGGCACACTAATATTAAGCACGGGGAATAATAGTAGTGTGCTTTTCAGGCACACTAATTAAGTATGAGGAATAATAGTAGTGTGCTTTTAAGGCACACTAATAAGTATGAGGGATAACAGTAGTGTGCTTTGCAGGCACACTAACAAGACCACGGCCAGAATCAGAAGACACCAAATTCGTTAGGAACCAATATGTTGAGCAGCAATAATGAGTCAGGCAGAGGAATAAATGTTGAGTAGCCACTCTTGTATTTTTATATTGAATAAAGAGAAATGTTCAATTTATACAGTTATAAAAGAATGACCAAAAATGACCAGAACACAAAAAGTGTGCACACGAAAAATGAAATGAGAGTGTTCATTGGGGCACTTCAAAACTACAATTGTTGCAGGTGCACCTGCTATAAAATGTTCATGAGAGTGTAATGTGAATGTGAATGTGTGTGAGTGTGTACGTGTGTATCTCCTTGTCTGTGTCTTTTCTTCAAGGTCTTGGCTCGCCATCTGACACAATCAGGATCATGTCTTGGTGCTCGAATCTTCCCGTCCTCTCAAAAACCTGACAAATAAGGTCATATCTATTATACCCTATTCTCAGATGCATCATTAATGGTTTAAATGCCAAAATGCTACATATATCTTTAATCTTATCAAATCTCAAATCTTCAGGTTCAGTTGTACAACATTAAACATTCAAAGATATCAAAGTTCAAATATGTGGACTAAACATTCAAGAACTCACATGTGTTACTGTTCATATGAACAGCGTTTCAATAATACTTACGATAAGTTACCATTAACATTCACAATATATCATATCCATATCATTCATTGATAACTGGAAGCCTTTTTGGGGAAAAAATGGTCTGATTAGGAGAGACGGCATCCATCCCACTTTGGATGGAGCGGCTCTCTTATCTAGAAATATGGCGAAGTTTATCTCTAAAACCTGACAGTCCAGAGTTAGGACCAGGAAGCAGAGCTGCTGTCTTACACACTTCTCTGCGCTTTCTTTAGAACAGTCACCCATCCAAAACCCCATAGAGACTGTGTCTGTCCCCCGACCACCTAAATTATTTAAAGAAATAAAAACAAGAGGAGTTCAACATAAAAATCTAATAAAAATTAAAACCAACTCCTCAGTAGCACAAAATAAGAGAATGAAATGTGGGCTGTTAAATATCAGGTCTCTGTCCTCTAAAGCTGTTTTAGTGAATGAATTAATATCAGATTATGATATTGATTTACTTTGTCTTACTGAGACCTGGTTGTCCCACAAGGAGTATGTTAGCCTAAATGAATCCACCCCCCCCCCAGTCATATTAATACTCACATTCCTCGAGGCACAGGCCGAGGAGGTGGAGTAGCAGCCATATATGATTCGAGCGTTTTAATGGACCCTAAACCTAAACTAAATTATAATTCATTTGAAAGCCTTGTTCTTAGTCTTTCTCACCCAAACTGGAAAACATTGCAGCCAGTTCTATTTGTTATAGTGTACCCAACTCCTGGACCGTACTCTGATTTTATATCTGAATTCTCAGAGTTTCTATCAAGTTTAGTCCTTAAATCAGATAAAGTAATTATTGTAGGTGATTTTAATATTCATATGGATGTTGACAATGACAGCCTTAGTAACGCATTTATATCATTAATAGACTCAATTGGCTTCTGTCAGAGTGTAAATAAACCAACTCATTGTTTTAATCACACTCTTGACCTTGTTTTATCATATGGCATTTATATTGAACATTTAATAGTCTTCCCACATAATCCTTTCCTATCTGACCATTATTTAATAACTTTTGAATTCATACTATTAGATTATAAGCCTTCCTACAGCAGATGTCTATCTGACAGTGCTGTAGCTAAATTTAAGGAGGAGATTCCTTCAATGTTTAATTCAATGCCATGTCTGAATTTAACAGAGTCCTATAACGACTTTAGTCCCTCTGAAATTGATAATCTTGTCGTTAGTGCTACAGGCTCACTACGATCAACATTAGACTATCGCTCCTATAAAAAGGAAATTATTAAAACATAGGAGACTAGCACCTTGGTATAACCACCAAACCCGCCAGTTAAAACAAATAGCTAGGAAATCTGAAAGGAAATGGCGCTCTTCCAAATTATCAGAATATCGCTCAAATTGGCAAGATAATCTTAAAATTTATAGAAAGGCCCTCCGTAATGCCAGAGGAGCCTATTACTCAGCACTAATAGAAGAAAATAAGAATAACCCTAGGTTCCTCTTCAGCACTGTAGCCAGGCTGACAGAGAGTCACAGCTCTATTGAGCCACATATCCCCATAAACTTAAGTAGCAATGACTTCATGAGCTTCTTCTATAATAAAATTATTACTATTAGAGAAAAAATTAATCACCAACTGCCATCAACAGTTATCAGTGGCTCTCCAAGTTCAGGGACTTCTGTCAATGTAAACTTAGAGATATATTTAGACTGTTTTTCTGCTGTCGATCTTCATCAGTTAACTTCAATCATTTCTTCATCGAAGCCATCAACCTGTCTATTAGACCCGATCCCAACTAGGCTGCTTAAAGAAGTTGTTTCCTTAATTGGCACTTCTTTACTGGATATGATTAATCTTTCTTTATTATCAGGATATGTACCACAGTCCTTTAAAGTAGCTGTAATTAAACCCCTTCTTAAAAAGTCCACTCTTGACCCAGGGGTTTTAGCCAACTATAGACTGATTTCTAACCTCCCCTTCCTCTCTAAGATTCTGGAGAAAGTAGTCGCCAAAGAGTTGTGTGAATTTCTACATAACAATAGTTTATTTGAGGATTTTCAGTCAGGATTTAGAGTTCATCATAGCACAGAGACAGCTCTGGTTAAAGTTAATAATGACCTTCTGACTGCTTCTGACAATGGACTTGTCTCTGTACTTGTATTATTAGATCTTAGTGCTGCATTTGACACCATTGACCATAATATTCTTTTAGAGAGACTTGAGCAACAAATTGGCATTAAAGGAACCGCACTAAGCTGGTTTAAGTCATATTTATCAGATCGCTCGCAGTTTGTACATGTTAACGATGAATCTTCAATAAATACTACAGTTAGTCATGGAGTTCCACAAGGTTCTGTACTTGGACCAATACTATTTACTTTATATATGCTCCCTTTAGGCAACATTATTAGGAATCACTCCATTAACTTTCACTGTTATGCAGATGATACGCAGTTATATCTATCAATCAAGCCCAATGAAATTAATCAATTATCTAAATTACAAACATGTCTTAAGGACATAAAATCCTGGATGACCTGCAATTTTCTGATGTTAAACTCAGAAAAAAACGAAATTCTTGTTCTTGGCCCTAAAAACCTTAGAGACTCACTGTCTAAAGATATTGTTAGTCTAGATGGCATTAACTTGGCCTCTAGCACCACTGTCAGGAATCTTGGAGTTATCTTTGACCAGGATTTGTCATTTAACTCCCACATAAAGCAGACCTCTAGGACTGCCTTCTTTCATTTACGTAATATTAGAAAAAATAGACACATACTATCACAGACAGATGCAGAAAAACTAATCCATGCATTTGTTACTTCAAGGCTGGATTACTGCAACTCTTTATTATCAGGCTGCCCCAATAAGTCCATTAAAACGCTCCAATTAATTCAGAACGCTGCAGCACGAGTACTGACAGGAACTAGAAAAAGAGATCACATCTCTCCTGTACTAGCTTCTCTGCATTGGCTCCCTGTAAAATGTAGAATAGAATTTAAAATCCTCCTCCTCACCTATAAAGCTCTTCATGGTCAGGCCCCTTCATATCTTAAAGAGCTCATAGTACCCTATTACCCCACTAGAACACTACGTTCTCTGAATGCTGGGCTACTTGTGGTTCCTATAGTCTCTAAAAGTAGAACAGGAGCCAGAGCCTTCAGTTACCAAGCTCCTCTTCTGTGGAACCAGCTTCCATTTGTGGTTCGGGAGGCAGACACCCTCGCCAAATTTAAGAGTAGGCTTAAGACATTCCTCTTTGATAAAGCTTATAGTTAGGGCTGGATCAGGTGAATCCTGAACCATCCCTTAGTTATGCTGCTATAGGCCTAGACTATCGGGGGATTTCCCATGGTGCACTGAGCTCCTCCCTTCCTCTCTCTTTCTGCACTCATTCGTGTCCCATTAATGCATGTTACTAACTTCACTTCTTCCCCGGAGTTCTTGTGCTTTCTCGTCTCGCAGGTTCTTGTCGGTCCTGGTGGAGCCTACTGCCATGGTCCTGCTAGATTGCCATTGCCAATACTGTTGTTGCTGTGCACCTGTCTGTCTGTCTCTCGCTCTCTCTCTCTCTGCCTCTCTCTCTCTCTCTCTCACCCCAACTGGTCGAGACAGACGACCACCCACCTAGAGCCGGAGGATCTGTCCTAGCTTTTAACAGGCAGTTTTTCCTTGCCCTTGTCGCCAAGTGCTTGCTGATGGTGGTACTGTTGGGTCTCTGTAATTAATGTTTTAAAGAGTTCGGTCTAGACCTGCTCTATTTGAAAAGTGTCCTGAGATAACTTCTGTTATGAATTGCCGCTATACAAATAAAATTGAATTGAATTGAATTGAATTGAATTGAAAAAACCAGGATAACATAACATGCAAATAAAATAACAGTAAATACACATACTGAGTTGTATTCAGAGGTATCAAAGAAGTGTGCTTAATTACTCCTCATACACCATAGGCCTACTAGTGCGAAAGAAACTAAAGCAAAACTTACCCTCCTAGTTACTTACTCACAATTGAAATGAAATAAATCCCTTCAATAGCTTGCATTTACAAAATAAATGTTATTTCTCTCTCATCATATTAATTATCAAATAACTTGTTTTTTAAATTGGCAATAGCAAAATAGAACAACTTCCCTTTTATATACATCGGCATAAAGTAATAGACACAATATGCATGTTCAAAACATTGCATCATTATTCACCTCATTCACTCCCATAGACTTTAGTACCGCCACCACTTTTGTTAGCACACAGAGAAACAACAGAAAAATAGCACCAGAGCAGCTAGGAGGGACACGTTTCTCACCGTTGCTCTGTGTTTCAAAGCCAAACACGTCGATGTCGGGGCTTGCAGTGGCTCACAAGATGGAAGATAAGTGGTTAGCCAACGTAACTCGTCTCCTTCGTTCAGTCACTCGGCTCCGGACTCTCAGTAGGTAAGTGCACTGGCCTTATCTTTCTCATTTCACAGTTTATTTTTCCTTTTCCATTCTTCTTTTTGCTACTGTTGGATGTTTGATCTTCACTGTGTACTGTGATTTTCAACTGGGCAGGGCTTACAAACGTGATTTGTGTCATCACAAATACTGGATGTGTCCTTTTACATGTCTGAAGGGTATCTTTAAATGAATAAATCAACACCACTCTCATATCTTCTCCAGATGGTGCCCTTGGGTGCTTAACCCTTTAGGTGCCGGGTTTCATTTTTAAAAATACTAGATTTTGACATCAAAATTTAAGAAGGCTCTGGCTTGAAAGTGGTTTGAGATAGAGACAAAGTGTAAATGAGACAAATGTTGAGAATGACCTAAAGTTTATCTAGGGACTACATTTTTTTATGACGTCATATGGTGGCAGCCATATTGGATTATGTAATTTTCATGAAATACCTGATATTTTGAAAGAGATTTGAACTTATTTCATCAGATTCACCCCACTCCATCTATTTGTAATGTTGTCCCAAACCAAATGAACAAGGAAAAAGTAAACCAACAGTCATAAACTAGAACTATTACTACACCACAAAACTCATGTAGACGTTTTTTATGATTTTTTTTTTTTTTTTGTGCCTACAGAGAATGTGTGCCTATCTATCCAGATGACACTGTTTATAGTTTGTCAGAGTGTGGAACCTCTCATTACAACGCACATCACACAGGTCTACCCCACACTGATTGCACCTGTATTGTGTCTGATGACGATCGGAGCAAACTACACAGTCTGGACGATCACCAGTGTCACGGAGCCAGTGGCGTTCTGTAAGCCTCTGTGGCATTTCTCCCCCCTCTGCTGAATGCCTTCCACGTATTTTGTTTTCTCTCTTGGAGAAGCCCTCAAGCAAAGCAGTGATAAAGACCTGCACAAAGGCCTTCAGTGGCTTGTGTGGACCGGCAGTCACGATTGTACCATTTCTTTGACCGATGTGTGGTTTTCCTCCTCTGATCAGCAGTGTCTACTCCCCCCATGAATGAATTGTACCTATCCACACACACAGGTCTGTTTACATCCTTAAACCCACTGTCCGTATGTTTGGACCTGATCCGTTTCTGGACACACGAGTTCCCATGAAGAGTGGACAACAAATGGAAACGCTTTACGTTATGCCACGCACACGCCAACATTTTGCCATGCCTCATGAACACTGGGTCATCTCCTCTGGCCAAGGGCAACTCGGTCTTTCTCAGGGCCTTTGGCATACCTCGCCTTTGGCTACTGACTGTCCCACACAAACCAGTTTCATCATTTGCCAACTCAGTTGCTACAGCTGGTGACGTGTAGTAGCTATCCATATATAACTCATGCCCTTTCCCTATGTGCTGGGCCATCAGCTGCCGAACTAGAACATGGGTGGCACCTAAATCAGTGACCTCATCACCATGCTGTCCAGTGTACAAAGACCACTGCAGAACGTATCCTGACTTGGCTTCACTCAAAACAAATGCCTTATAACCATATT